TTTACACAGACATTAGTAGAACTAGGATCTCAAATCTATTGATTCTTGGTTCAATGATGTTTAGAGTTAAATGTGTTTTATTGTAATGCAACATTTTGAAACATTTTCAGTTTCATTAACAGTGTTTATTTTAGACAGTGATATTGAACATTTAGACTTCAGATGAACCAGAGCTGGTAAATACATTAAGTCCACAGTCTGTCCATAGATTTGAGAAAGTATATGAGCCTCCTCACTGGGCTTTCCCACACTCAGTGTATATATTTTCCCAATGGTTAGTTTTTCAATCTCTTTTCACTCCTTTTTAAGCGTATATTGGTTGGTTATAGGAAGAATGGCCCTCTAGGTTTTTATCATTGAAGAAACAGAAAAAAGATAAAATGAGGACTCTAACTATTATATGTAAATTAAAAAGAAAAGATCCTAGGATAGAAAAGTATCATTTTAAAATATGGTAAAGGACAAGAGCAATTCCAAAATTTTTGTGGACTTTCTTTTGATCACATAAAGTATGATGTTTTTATTGCTTTATTGTAATGTTTTCTGGCAGTACTTATAATGTTCATATTTCATTGTAGTTACTGTTCTTAGGAATTTATAACTCAACTTTTACAATTTGCCTACAGCTGAAACATGATCTATGGATGTTTGGCTTAGATATAATTCTTCAAACAACTCATTTTTGAAGGCAATAATTAATATTAGATTGCTTGTTAATATGTTTGAAATATTAAACACTGTGTTTTTAATCTCATACAAAAAAGTAATCAGAAACATTACAGAAGAAAAGAACATTTACAAACAATATTGTGGAATGGAAATTTCAAAAACAAAGTTACTGTACTTTAAAAAGTTATAGCTCTCATTTTTTATTCTCATGGATTAGGGTAAGAAACTTCATTCATTATGTCAAATTATTATTATCTTTCTGATGACAATTTAATAGTTGGAAGTACAGGAACATAAAGAGACTGTAAAGATATATCTTGATCCACAACTTCACAGCTTCTCCCCTTTTCCCTGTAAAAATTTTAAAGTTACTTCTGCCTTTATAAAATACCATTGAAGTATTTGCCAAACTTCATTGATACCTCAATAATTTACTTTTCTATTGTTGAAATCATAGTTATCTTTTACTTAGAGAATGGTAGTGATCTTTCTACTGGCTCCCTTTTTCATGGCCTTATTCTTTTTACTGACTCTGCTTCTTGTGAGGAGAGACCGTCCAGTCTCTCTCTCTGCTCCTTCATGATGTCCACCAGTAAGGTCATTGTGGGCCCATGGAGTGCATGTAAGGAAATGGGTGGATCGGTGCCTGTGTTCTTGCCCATTCTGTGCATGCTTCTTTCTCACCACAGTCCAGCAGGGATCACTGTCAGTCTCATGAGAGAACTTCTAAATCAAAACTTCAGCTTCACTTACCACAGTCTACTCTCCTTTATTCATTTCTTGTGCTGGTCCTGTGCATCAATATTCACTCGGGTTAATTTTCTCATCCTCTTCTATTTTGCCTATCAGATTTTTTTTTCCCCCTATTACACAGCATCTTAAACTTGCTGCCTCTTTACCTAAAATGTGACTCTTGTTTCTCTTACTCTTCATCACCTTAGAACCTTATCATATATATGGAAGCATCACAGATTTATGCCAGTCACATGAAAACTGTGAACCATCATCTTTCTGGTACTCTATCATTGTTATTAAATGACATTCCTTTAATACATTCTTTGTATTTATTGATTAATTTCTCTACTGAAGTTTGATAGAGAAAATCACACAACCATGTCGATTGGGAAGCCTTCAAAATCATGGTCACCAGCCCCAGCTGAGTGCTCAACATATTGCAATCCATTGTTATTTGACTCCAGAACTTATTTCAATGATGGCAATAACACATTCATTCAATATCAAAATAATACAAAGTCATATTTTCTTTTAACAGCATTCAAGCACCAATAACACTAATACAAAAAGTTTGGTGAAATGGTCATAGTTATATAAGAGATAGTTAGGAATTATGTAAGTTTTGAATAGATTTTGAAAGAAATGACAAATATGACTGGCAAGAGAGAAGTGTTAAGGTTGGAAGATGCTTCAAATGACGACAAATAGAAAATGTAAAATAAAAGATAAGCCCCCTGCGAGCAAGGGTAATGTCTTTTAAAAATATTTTCCCAATTATATATAAAATGATAATACCTATTGCAAGAACAGGAAAATGCTAACTATAAAAAAGACAATAAAAATCAACCACAATCTAAATATCTTAGGATAACCATTTTAACATTTTGGTTAATGTCATTTCTACAAAACTGTTCTATATGCAGTAAGTGATTCATTTCTCAAGATGTGAGCATCCTCAAGTTGGAACCAAATAGATCTTAGTTCAAACCCTGCCTGTAGCACTGGATAGCTATGTCACATGGACATGTTAGTTAATCTCTGGACTCCAGTTTCCTCCCCTATAAATAAGGACAGTAACTATATTGTAGAATTATTATGACAAGATGATATATATAAAGTACCTTATGCATACTAGATATACAAAAAAATCATTTCTGTTTTGATATTACATTACATTTGATATTAAGAAAATGTACATATTTTCTTAAAATTTGAGTATGTGTTATCTGAATTAATGAGGCTTTATAGTATTGACAGACTGGGACAACTCTATACAGAGTGTTGATATATAATTTGTTTTATACAGAGAGACTTGCTACAAAATATTTACTAAGTTTGAGTTCTCTATAAGAACACTCAGCCAATAAAATCTTTTCATTACAAAACTAAAATTTCATTTTTTTGCAACAATTTTTTAATAAGCCCATCCAAAGAGTTGAACTACCCAAAATGATTTAAAGTATGCAAATACATAAATTCATTATTAGTAATAATAATGAATTGCACTCCATTGGATTTAGGAGTGTCTTTTCTGATAAGAGCTGAAACTACTTGAGATGCTAAGGAGATATAAAGATAACAGACTTATTGGTTTCATGGAAATATTGAGGTTTTGGTGTCCCAAAGAAATATAACTTTGAAGGACATGGAGTTTTCTACCATTTAGCTTATAATTTTTTTGTTTTGTTTTTTAGCCTGATTTCAGGTTATTATTTGTTATGGCACATTATAGGCAAATACTTGTTTTCAAATGAGAAATTATACTTTATCGCAAAATATTTTGAAAGCGGTGAATCCAAATGTATTAGGATTCTGCTATTTTAAAATGTTATATCCATGTTGCGGGGGGAGCAGAAACTTTCCTCTACCCTCAAGGTCCTTTCAGCTGGTCTAATAATTAAATCCACATGAGACAGATTAACAAGCAAAAATAACCAAACTTAATACCTATGTACACATGGGAACCCCACATACGTGAGAGGTTCAAAGACAAAATGGGAAAATGAGGTATATATGATATTCTGAGCTAAGGATCACCTTAGGGCTTCAGAGCAGAAGAAGGTCACTGCAGGATGAAAGAAGAGCAGATGTTCAGTAATTAGTAGTTTGCCCTGCCATATAGATAGGTCAAAACAGGTTACCTCTTATAATCTCTTATTATGGGCAAGGCCCATAATTCAAATTTTTCTAGGTAGTTAAAGGCGGGGCAGAAGTTTTTCTTGAGCCAGCAGGGTCATGGTTGCCTTTAGCTCAAAACTATCTGTACATCACAGAGTCATATCCTGGGGTGACTCATTCTAAACTACAGTTCTTATACTGTATTTGGAATTAATTGAGTTTATAAATGACAAACTTTGTGATGCTGTAGACTTTTACATTAAAACATTTTAGTTGGGTCTTTTCCTTTTAAAATAGTATCTCTGAAGAAAAGTAAAAGCTTTATCCCAAGACTAATTCTCTGAATTTCAGATAGGACTTATGAGAAATTTTTAGTTATTTAATTGTAAGATAATTAAATTAGCTGACTTAATTAATAATTAAATAATTAAAGATGAGGAAGTCCATTAGTCTTGTAGCCTGTGCAGCACTTTTTAGACAATTTTCAAGTATTTTAGATTTATCCGAACTAAAACCACTTTTACCTAAGCCTTTTTTAATATTTATTTCATGTATATTTGTTTTAATGTTTAAAACAAAATTTAAACAAATTTAATGTTTAAATTTCTCATTCATTTATACCATCGGTCATCACAATACTTTATAAGCACTATTTCATGTCCAAAAATATGATATCCCTAAATAAAATAATTCACACTCTGCACCAGCTCCATCAATCTTAATCTGTCCCATTGCCTTGACTTACTTGTTCTCATAGCACTTCTCACCATGTTATCTTCTATAAAATATATCTGTTTAATTGTTTTTAAAATCTACCTTCCTCTAGAGAATAAAAACTCCATAAGAGCAGGGACTTTGATTTGTTGCAAGTATATTCCCTGCTTCTATAGAAGTACCTGTTACTTATCAAACATTTGATAAATATATATGTAATGAATGAATGAGTGATTGAAGCTTTAGTAGTGGGAAAATGCATATATCTCTATAAGAAGTAGCATATTTAAGTTTTACTTATCAATACTTAGGTTAACAGAGGTGCTAGAGGAGAAGTTTTTGCCTTTTTCATATATAAATAGGGACTGGGGATGAGACTTTAAAAATCTTGAGGTTGACAAGACTGGAAGGAAGGTGTTAAGTTCTTTCTGCAACCACCTTTGTTCACAGTGGTCTGCGAGGCTTTGTTATTTCTTTTGCGCTCTCAGTTACAATGAGAAGCAGCAGGATGTTTAAGTACTCTCTGAGGGGTGCTGTTTTGTTCAGCTTCCAAACCTTAGAAGAGTGTGAAAATTAGGTCACACCTCATGAAATTTAAATAACAAAACACTCTACCTAGATTAATAATACCCTAGTTCTCTTCCTACTATATTTCTTTTTGCCTAAAAATGGGAATTATTGTTTTAGGTTTAGTCTCACAACTTGAGCTGGGTATTTTTCTTCATTTTGGGGTAACTGACATGTTTTCTATTCTTGTTCCTCAGAATGGATTGGGGAGATGAATATTCCCATAATTCTTTTGACCTACATTGTTTGTTAAATTCATTTCCTGGAGACTTGGAGTTTAAGCAGATCTTCAGTGACATTGATGAAAAGATAGAACAAAATGCTACAAGGTAAATATTGTAATTATTTAAAACAGGTTGGTTTCATGCTTTATTTACACAAACTTTACTCCTAGATAATTTTTGTTTTTAATTGTAATTAACTTTGCTGAAAAAAATTGATGAGACCCTCCCCCTAAAATTTAACATTATTTTCCTTATCTGATTAGTACTTCAAATAAAACTAGAAAATATACGCACTGCCTTCAAATAAAGTCTATTGAATTTCTATTAATGATTTTGTAGAGTTTGCCAATATCGATAACCTGGATTTTCATTAATATGTTTAGAATTAAGCATTCTCATTAGGTGGATAAGCATAGAAATTGAAATTTTGAAATAGATATTAAAATGGTAGTATAAACCCACGATTATGTGAGTTGTTGAAAACAGAACATGAAAAATAGATTATTCTTATATAATGTTTGTCATTTTAAGTCTCCTCTTATTTGGAAGGCTAGGGACTTCATAGAGAATTGCTATTTTATATTAGTCTTCATCACTTACTACAAAAGTTAGTGTTACCATATACTGGGGAAAAGGGACAGTTAGGTTCCCACTAACACATGTTCTTTGATAGAAAAGACTTTGTCTTCATATGTATCTGTGGGCCCTTGAGTCAGTTCACTTATTTTAATCCTTTTGGTGAAAGATTCTAATAACATACTCCATTTGGGTTACAAATATGCAAAACAGTAAAAATCTCTATTGTAGAATGACATAGTATTTCCTTTTTTAAAATTTAAGGGATAGTTGAATTGTCAAAGAACTGAACTAAGCAAGTGAAATGTTCCTATGGTTTTTTCCCTCATGTTTTATGTGAGAATACAATTAATTTTCATCATCATAAAAATGGGCATAGAAAACTTAAATTCAGAAGATAGCATATTGATGGGGAATTATAATTAAAAAAAAATCTCCCATCCCAGAAATCCTCTCCATAAAGGATTTATTATTCAACAAGTATTAAAACCAGAATGCCATGCCCATTACGGGCAATCTGCAAAGAGACTGCACAAACAGAAAGGAATCTCACCCCTTTATATAGTTTTCAAGATATATATGTTTTCAAGATAAACAATATTAATAGTCCTCAAATAGAGGATTTGACAGCACTTTTTTTTTTTCTACACATAGTTCATCCTAACTTTGTCACGGTGTAAAGAACAGCTGTGTTAGCTAGGAGAAACAAATTTCTCATATCTTTTTGACAGCTAGTTCTGCAAATTGGAAAGGGGCACCCACTGAAGTTAGGCTCCTAGTCTTCCTTAGGAACTAAGTGATAGGGGAGCCATCTCCCTTGGTGTTTTCGTTTGGCATAGATGACTCCCAGATTCTTGAGAAAGAAAGTCCTGGCTGAGAAAGCTGACAAAAAGGCCTATCTAGTTTTCCAAGGGATACATTTCAAAGAGATGTCTTAACAATTACAAATTTTTAAGTTAAAAGCTTTAAGAAAAGGAATGGACAGAAATCTTTTCCCTTATTTAAAACAGGGAGAATTAAGCCTCTTATTTTTAATTTGCATTTGCCCTTACTATATATTTATATTTTTTAATTTAAAAATTATATCCTTATATTTCATGTCATGTTTTATATATGTAATTTTTAAATAGCATATATATGACTTAACCATAGAGTATATATTATAATTTATATTGTATGTAAATATATAGTAACTGTATTAAACTTCAATGTAATTATTTTATTTATATAATTTATATGTTATATATTTATATATTATTGCATAACAAAGTTTCTAACCCAAAGGAAATATAAACAAAAATAGTATTAGCTTAACTAGGTTAAGTTATTTTTTAATTTCCAGACAAGGTTATGTTAAAACAAATTTTTAATATTTTTTTAAAGGAAATTGTCTTCGTAATAGCGTTTAGGTTTCGAGAAAACAAAACAAGTTACTGAACACTGATGCTTTTATTTTTACTTGCTAAACCATCTATAGTTAGTTTCCTATGCTACCTGGTCAGTAAGAAATCATATTTAGAAGTAAAACAGTGATTAAAATATTGTATTTTGCATTTATAAATTGTTGTTTAGGTTAAAACTCAGATGTTAGTATTAAAAAGAAAATATGACATGGAATGTAAGGATATAATTTTTAAATTAAAAATATTTTATTGCCCATATAGTAAATCAAACCTAGAGTGGAACCATCTCAAGTGACCATTGATCTTTACAAGGGATAAAGTAAGGAGTATGTGCTGTATGCTACATTTAGAATCAAGTCTATTTTTCATCAAATTCAATTATGTTTTTATTATACTCTAGAGAATAAACATAATAGTATATATTTTTAAAAATAAAATACTGAATAATAACCATAGTTCAGAAGAGTGTAAATCATTTATGCACTCATTTATTGCCTTCTAACAGAATGGCTTTTAGAAAATTGTATGTCATGACAAATCAGTTATGCCACACTTACACTGCAGTAGTTGAATTACCTTTGGCATGTTCGTATTCGAACAGTTCTATTTATCTCTCAATGGTGTACATTGAATAAATAATGAACATCTGTATGATATGAGTTTTCCCAATACTTTTAAAAGAAAAAAACATGAGTAATTCATTTTTAAATATGGTATTTTTTCCTTACCCTTAAATTTTTAAAGTTGTATTTCTAGCAGTGACCTTGAATTCTAAGTGTGAATTCCTCCCCTCTTCTTAATATCATCAGGTTTTATGAGCCATAGGGTCTTTTGCTTCCCCAAAGCAGTGATTCCAAGAATGGAACAGTGATTCCCCTGATTGGACCAGAGTGCCCAGAGGTCACTGAACCTTATCCTGCCCTTCAAGAAAGGCTGTCCTTCTCTCAGACCATTTTCATTTTTACATCCTCGTTTCCTTTCAAGTCAGAGCTAGGTGTCTCTTAGGTCTGACAGTGAGAATGAATCATTTATTTTTAACACATCAAAATTGGTAACAAGAGGGTAAATAACCTACCGCAGAGGAATATATGAATGTTGTCCCCACAGACTCAGTTCAGTAACGGAAAACTACACATAGTACTGAAATATTTTTTAAACAAACTGGAACCTATTATTAGTTTAACAAGATTTAGGGATATAGAAGTTCCTTTGAACTCATAATGTAACATAGGATGATTTTTCTCCTCTTAATGTTTAGTTGGATAGTTACAATTATATCATTAAGAGTTTATTTTACCATTCTGATTTCTAATTTTAGATAATCTATGTGTGTACCTCATAGGACATCAGTTTTGCTGGTACTGGTGCAAGATTACTACTTTATAAAAAAAATTTAACATAAAGAATAAACAAGAAGTGCTACCATGGATAATATCATCTGTCTGAATCCAAGAGATCTGTTGTGGAGATAGGGTAGTGGGTAGCATTAACTTTATGTTATGACAGATGTTGAGTACATGATTTCTCTAAATTTAACCCTGCTTATTCATAGTAGATACATATTCCATGGATTACACTTATTTCTCACATAATGCTTAAATTTTTTAAATTTATATTGAAATGTTTTCTTTAGATTTTTCCACATGATGCCCTAAAGTTATAAAAGAAGTAACCAAAAGAAATCATAAGCTAGCAACTTTGGGTTTGTCATGGCAAAACCACAAATCTGCCAGTGGACACACACACACACACACACACACACGCACACACACACGCACACACACATACACAGACAGACAGTAGTATATTTTATGACCGAAGCAAATTGTATAAAATGAAAATTAGCCATTTCGAAGACTGTACTGTGTATTATTATTTTGGGCAGTATTTTGACACTTATTTAATAAATAAGAGGATATAAATGAATATTTGCTCCTTTCTTAACTTCCTGTACTAGTACTCCTCTTTTGCATTTCTCTGTTATTCTGTACTCCATCTGACAGAATCCTTACCTCTTCTCTTATCCTACTGAACAAGACCAAGCCAAATGGGAAAAAATCTGAAAAGTTTCTCCAACTACCCTTGAACCCAGAGTAAAACCTACACAACCACTTTCTAGTTACTTTTGTCTCTGGGTCCTTTTCAGGACTCTCTCCTCCTCAGAATTAAAAATGCCTCCCAGGCAGACAGGATCCTGGCCTTCAGTATTCCTGCTCTATGTGCCCTCAATGCTTCCCTTAGGCTTCTGTCTGCTTTGGAAAGATGAGAGATGAGTAGGGTAAAATGTGGGATCAAGAGCTCCATTAGATGATTATTAAAGATTCTTTCAAGTAATACACAAATTTTAAGTGTTTGACATTTTGAAAAATATAACTTATTTTTATGTGTGTTTGCTTCCTGTATTCTTGGCCAACTAAGCATAAGACCAAATAGGCAATAAGACAATAAAAAATTATCCCCTAGACCACCAGGAGGCAAAATGATGTTTTGAGAAGTTAGTTAGAAGTAGATTCAAAACTCTGTGTCCTTACTTGAGTTACTCTACCCCTCAGAATAATAATGCCTACCTCATAAAACATTATGCAGATTAAATGAAATTTGTGTACTTCAGATGCCTATCAGTTCCTAACATAATTAAGGCTCAAAAAATGTTCGTTCTTTTACCCATTTTCTACTAGGTGAGGCCTGAATATGGTTGCTTATAGGTTAAATTCAATGTTAAACCACAAATATAGTTAAAGAACATTTCATTTAATACATCTGAAGAAAACTCAGCTTTGATATAAATACCTCAGTGACAATAATGCCACCCTATTTATATAATACACATATGTGTTCACTTTAAGAATAGGGTAGGTAGCACTGCCACCAAATGTCATACATAGCTTTTAGTTATTGACCTCCAGCTGAAAAATGAATCTATTGGGCAAATAGAAGGAAGCAAACAAATTGTGTCTACCTATTTATAAACCGTAATGATAACAAAAGGATGAGTAATATTGTACTAAAAATCCAGACCTGCTAAGAATATTGAACCAACAATAGTTAGGCCTCTTTTTGCCATTGAAGATCATAGTTGATAGGCCAATGAGAAGTAAGCCCTACTTCTGAGGTAACAACCTGGGG